GGCACGCACGGCCCGAGGGGGCCGTGCTACACAAGGACCCAGGACGGGGGCCCGTGCCAGAGCCCTGCCAGACGGGCTGCCGATGAGGCTGGAGCCCCCGTGGCCAAGCGCCCAGGTGCCCCTGCAGCTCAGGAGGAAGCGGACCAGGACGGCCCGCGACAGAGGGGAGCCGGAGCCCCAGCGGCCCAATGCCACGGTCCCTCGGCGATTCCAGCTCGCTCAGCCTGCGTGACCCGCGGCCGACCCGGCAACAGGCAGCAGAACTGGTGTCGGGCCTCGTGGCGCAACAGAAACCAGAACCAGCCATTCGGTCGTGGGAGCTCGCCGACAAACGCCCAGCTTTGCCCCTGGGCCAGTGCAGCTCGCCTCTCTTCAGAGGGCCGAGCGGGTGGCGATTGACAGTCCTGCAAGACACACTGAGCCCCGCTGGGTTGCCTCCATTCGAACACGTACCGCACCTGCTGCACCAGACAATCGCAATGCCTGTGCCAAGCTGTCGGGCAGGGGCGGGAAGCAAGGAGCCGAAGGAGGGAGGGGGGCGGGGCGGGAGCGGGTGGCCCTCTCAGCTCTCGCCAACTGGAGGCGGGGAGGTGGGGGTCCGATGGGGTGTGACCAATTGAGCGCCTCAGAGCGTCTTGAGCCAAAATGGCTACGGACTCCACCTCCCCTGTTCTTCCTTCTCCTCTTCCTCCTCATCTTCCTCCTCCTCCTCCTCCCCCTCCTCCCCCTCCTCCCCTTGCCTTTCCTCCACAGGGAGCGCGGCGCCTGGAGGAGTGTTGTCCCTCTCGCGGACCAACAACTCACATGTACCCTCCTCTTCTTGACCACGGGGACCAGAAGGAGGTGGGGGGAGAGTGGGGCGGAGGCGAACGGAATGTGGAACGTCTCGCTGTAAGCGTCCGCGGCGAGCGAAAGCATGTAGCGTGCCAAGCCCATGCGGTCATGATGCAATGCCCCTGCGCGAGCATGATGCCCAATTCAAGCCGCGCGCACAATAGAAGCTGGCACTCGGGCCCGGTGACAGCTTCGGCAGGAAAGACCCCCGCCGAGAGGAAGGGGAGGCGGAGGGGCCGATGGGGAGGACGGTCGAACTAAGGAATGGAAGGTTTGGGATGCTTTACCGTGCTCCCCTCCTGCCCATCTTCTATATCTCTCCTCCACACTCTTCCTCCTGACTCCTGAACCTGCTGATCCTCCTCCTCATCATCACCACCACCAATACCACCACCACGACCACCACCACCACCATCATCGTCATCATCATCATCATCATCATCATCATCATCATCATCATCATCATCATCAGCATCAGCATCAGCATCAGCATCAGCAGCATCATCATCATCAACATCATCGGCATCATCATCATCACCATCATCAGCATCATCATCACAATCAGAACCATCATCAGCATCAGCATCATCAACATCAGCCGCAGCCTCATCACGATCATCATCAGCATTACCATCATCATCATCATCATCAGCATCACCATCACCCGTATCATCAACAACAGCATCGTCACCAGCATCATCATCAGCATCATCATCTGCATCTGCATCAACATCAGCATCATCATCAGCATCACGACCATCATCACCACCACCATCATCATCATCGTCATCATCATCACCATCATCATCATCACCATCATCAACATCATCATAATCATCATCATCATCATCATCATCATCATCATCATCATCATCATCATCATCATCATCGGCATCACCGTCCTCATCATCACCATCATCAGCATCATCATCCTCATGATCCTGATCCTCATCATCGTCATCATCAGCAGCAGCATCATCCTCATTTCTCCTGCTCCTCCTCCTTCCTCCGCCCCCCTTCGCCTCCTATTTCTCCGTCCTCCTTATCCATCTCCATCCCACTCTCCCTCGTCCTCCTCCATTATCATGGGACCCTCCATCCCTAGCCTGATCAACCCTCATCAACCATAATACTAAACCTCCTCCTCCTCGACTCCTCCTCCTCCTTCTCCTCCTCCTCATCCTCTCCTCCTCCTCCTCCTCCTCCTCCTCTCCTCCTCCTCCTCCCTCTTCTCCTCCTCAGCACTCCACCTCCTTCTTCTCCTCCTCCTCCTCCTCCTGACCATGCTTCCCCCGCTTCTCTCTCCTTCTCCTCCGTCTTCTCCGTCTCCTCCTCATCCTCCTCCTCATACTTCTTGTCGGGGGCGTTGTCGATATCCTCCGCCTCTTCCTCCCCCCTCCCTCACGAGTCATCCAATCTTACTCCCCTGTCCCTCTCGCCTTCCTCCTCCTCCCTCACCTCCCCCCTCTCGTTCCTCCTTCTCCCCATCACCCCTGTCCTCCTCCCCTCCTCCACGTTCCTCCCCCTCCTCCTCCTTCCTCCCTCCTCCGCCTTCCCCTCCTCCTCTTCCTCCTCCTCCTCCTCCTCCTTCTCCTATGTTCAACTCCTCCTCCTCCTCCTCCTCCTCCTCCTCCTCCTCCTCCTCCTCCCTTGCCTTCTGTTCCTATTCGAACGCCTCCTTCTCCTTATCCTTTCATTCCCTCCTCTTTCACCTCCTCCGCCTCCTCCTTCCCCCACCCCATAGCCTCGACTATGCGTGTCCTTCTCACTCTCCCTCACGCTTCCCTTCGTCCCCCTTTCGTTACCTCAACGCTCCAACTCACCCTCATCCCTTCTCTCTCCTCCTGCCGCGCCTCACCATACACAAGTTGTTCCATCCTCCTTCTTCCCCCACCTCGACCACGTCCCTCCTCACACTCCTCCTGCGCCCCTATCCTCCTCCCCCCCTCGTCATCAACAGTTCCTTCTCCTCCTCGTCCTCCTCCTCCTCCTCCTGCTCCTGCTCCTCATCATGGTAATCATCCACCTACTCTTCTCACTTCTCCTCCTCATCCTCCTCCTCTTCCTCCACCGCTCCTCCTCCCTTCTTCCTCTTCCAATGCCGCCGACGGCGAGAGCACAGCCGAAGATCGGCACAAGCAACAGCGAAACCCCCGAGACCGACCGAGGCCGACAGGCCGCGAGCTGCCTGGGTGGGCGGGGCAACGCAACAACGAACAACGACAGAATGGCCGACTGAACACCGACCGACCGTACCCGACTGCGACGAAGCCGAACCGACCGAACCGCGGACAGTCCTGGTCCCTTGGTGCTCATCGCCGTCTGGCACGCGGGTCACGACTCGGGAGCTCCGGCGGCCTCTCAGGGACGCTTCAGGCATCCCCCAGAATCTTGGCGAAGCGCAGCTGCTGGAGAACATCCCGAGGCTGGAAGACCGCCGCCTCGAAGCTCGATCGCACCACGCCTCGAACGCGAGGAAAACGCACCACGCCTCGAACCTCGATCGCCCTCGCCTGCTCCCCCTCCCCCACCCCTGACTCCTCCTCCTCCTCTTCCTTCCTACGCGTGCGGCTCGCCGTCCGTGGCAGGCAGGCTGAAGCCGGCCATCGACGCCCCGCTCGAGGCCATCGACGCAACGTCCTGCGGCAGGGCAGGGACGGGAGCGCGCCACGTCCTTCCGGTCCTGCCTGTGATTTTTTTCCGTTTGGCAAACTCGATACTCGACTGGAATCGTAGCGTCAATAGAGGCGTTCGCGATCAAGAAATGAGGAACGATCGGGAGGCAACGCGCGATCCACCTGGGGCCTATGCACGGATGCTCCAGGTGTTGGCAAACTGATCTGGGTGGTGTCGGCTCGCGGTCCTGCCCGTGCCTCATCCGCCTCATCCACCTCCTCGTCCACCAACTCGCAACTTCCCCCCTCACTTCGGATCGGCCGTACTTTAGAGGGTGTTCTGACTTAGAGTTGTGTCGAAGATTATTTTCTTCTCACTCCGCTGGCCATATCCTCCTCCTCCTCCTCCTCCTCCTCCTCAAATAAAGACAAATCCTACGCCTAATAATTAAGAACTGAAGAATCATCCAATCTAGGTAATAGGTCCTCCTCCTGTTCCTCTTTCCTCCGCCGTCCTTCCCTCCCCCCCTCCTGCGCACTCAGGCCAAGCCGACTTCGCCCATGACCACCGGCTCCCAGCGCACGGAGGGTGTCATGGGCCTCGGCGCCGTTGCGCTCGACCAGGCAGGCGCCCTGTGACAGAAACCCAGGCCGATATACCCTCACGGAGCATCCACCGTCGCGCGGCGATGCGAAGTGCCGGTCAGAGGCCATCACGTGTTCAGGGTTTCCACGATCGGCTGCTCTCTTTTGACGCAGCGCGGGCGCTTGCACAGTAAGGGTCGGCCGAGGGCGGAGGCGAATTTGCAACAGGAAAGGGGGCGAGATGAAGAGAGCGGCCCCAGAGGGCAAGGAAAAGCGAGGGGGGGCACTCAGAACGGGATGACCTGGACTGGCTGCCAACGCGGTCAGTTGCGCGCAAGGGCGGTCCCAGACAAGAGTGAACCCTGGACACATGTATCCATATCCGCCGCCTCCAGAGGACCAGGGGGATCGGTCCATCAGGCGATGCATTTGTGTACAGGTTCCCGCCTCGCAATCGGTGCCCTCGTCCTTCTCGGGGGAACGAAAGGGGGGCATAGCAAAGGGTAGGGTAGATAATCAGCGCGCGCAGCTGATTTTCCCAGCGCCTCCCGGCGCCGGGAGGCGCCCATGTACCGAAGAATGGGCCCAGCGGCGGGGCCGAAACCAGCTGCATGCAGCAGATATCGTAATCCGCCCTGTCCCTATCCCTCCTCCTCCTCCTCCTCCTCCTCCTCCTCCTCCCCCTCCTCCTTATCGTCCTCCTCCTCCTCCTCCTCCTTCTCCTCCTCCCTTCGCTCGGCCCGACATTCGTGTGCAGCCCCTGCCGCCCTCGCTCTTGCAGCGTGACCCGTCGTGGCCGGCGCCCCCGCGGAAGGCCGCAGGCAGGGCCGCAGCCGACGTGCCCCTCGGGGAAGGCGCTGCCGGCGGCGTCCAGCGATCCGCCGCCGTCACGAGGCGGAGGAGGAGGAGGAGGAGGAGGAGGAGGAGGAGGAGGAGAAGGAAAAGGAGGAGGAGGAGGAGGAGGAGGAGGAGGAGGAGGAGGAAGGTCCTTTCGACGCCTGCCCTCGGTCCTGCACAGCGAGGGAGTGCATAGGCGTGCCCCCGCGGTGTTCCCGATTGGGGGTCTCGCCTTTGCCAGTGGTGTCCCCCTGCAGGGCACCCAAAAACTATCGGGCCCCTGAAGTGGTTCTCGAACGCCTGATCCGTTTTTTGTTTCCTTGAGGGCCTGCAGGGCGCTGTAAGTCTCGAGGCGATTGGATTCATCGGATCATTGGTGCTCTGCTCTGCTCCTTCCCCACCCTCTGCCGCATGGCCCTTGGCGGATGGTAAATCATTGGCCCTACGCGGCCATCTCTTGGGGGCGTTACTTGCTTCCCGTGGCTTCCACCTGCGCTCTACGACCGCCTGCTGAAGAATAGAAGGTACACTCGGGCTGCTGAAAGAAGGAACGGTTAACAAGGAACGAAGCCCCTTTTTGGCCCCACAAGCGCCTGCGTGCACGAGGAAGGTTAGAGGAAAAGCCCTAGAAGGACCTAAGGAATATCGAGTCCCGTTCTTACCCAAACTGTTCCTTCGTTCAGCGAGTTTGCTGTAACCCTTCGATCCATCGGAGGGGAGGCCCTCACTCGATCGCCGTCAACCCGTGAGCCGAGGATGGCTACAACGGAGGCTCCCCTCCCTCCTGTTGCGTCTTGCTCGCCTCCTCCCCTTGTGCCTCTCCGCCTCCTCGTCCTCCTGTTCCCCCTGGCGGGGGCGGAAGAGCACGATGACGATCGCTCTCTGCCGCAGGCTCCACACGTGCCACTCCCGGAAGGCCTGACCCCCTCCACCCCCCCCCCCCTAAACTTAAGCCAGGCTTGTCCCTCTACAGGGGGATTTTGGCAGATACATTAAAATCAAAACATACTCAGAACATACGCTCAAAAGGGCTTCCAAAAATAGTCACAAAGTCTTCTGCTGACTATTTTTGACAATTTCTGGATATCCCTCCTGTAGAGAGACAGGCCCGACTTAACCCGAGACAAAACAAACATCTCCTACACTGGGGGCTTGGCACTGCTCCCGCCCCCTTCCGCCCGGCAGACCCTCCCTCGTGCTGCTCCCGCCGCCCTCCGCCGGCCTCCGCCGAGGGCGAGGCGTGCACCCCTCCGCCCCCCGAAGGCGAGGCCCACTCTGGAGCGCAACGCGCAGGCACCCCCACGGATGCAGCATGCTGCACGCGGCTGCCCTCCCGCACCCCACTGGCGCCCGAGCGCGGTGGCAGGCGCGCGCGGCTTCCCGAAAACCCAACGCCCGAAGCGAAAGCATTGCCATCTCTTGGGGGCCCGAATGTTTGCTCCCGCCGGCTTCCGCTGGCCTTCTGCCAGCGGAGCCGCCACCGTTTTGCTGCAGCCACGCTCCGCCGAGGAAGAGGCGTCAGCTCCTTCGATCCTTGCAGGAGCGGCCCTTCTGACTACCTACCAGACCACCCCAACCCAACCCGAAGACCCGAATTTCGGGTTGGGGGGAGGGGGGGGGGTACAGGCGTCCTGCGTTTTTCTTTGCATATTCCCCGACTCACCCCCAACTGGAAATGTTGGGTTGGGGTGGTTTGGTGGGTGGTGAACTTCTTGGAACGCCTCGCAGCGCCACTCCGACCCGGAAGCACCAGCCGTGCCCAGCCGCTGGCCCCTGCCGCAGACAGGGCACGCTGTACAGGCGGCGACGTCCGAACCGAGTAGCCCCGCCGACCATCAACCTTCCTCCGACTATGATGAGCCTGTTTTCCACCACCACCACCACCACCATAAGTTGGAGGGGGGAAGGAGGAGAGGGAGGAGGAGGAGGAGGAGGAGGAGGAGGAGGAGGAGGAGGAGGAGGAGGAGGAGGAGGACAAGGAGGAGGAGGAGGAGGAGGAGGAAGAGGAGGAGGAGGAGGAGGAGGAGGAGGAAGGAGGAGGAGGAGGACGACGAGGAGGAAGAGGAGGAGGCGGACGAGGAGGAGGAGGAGGAGGAGGAGGAGGAGGACCCCCTCCTCCAACTTATGGTGGCGGTGGTGGTGGTGGTGGTGGTGGTGGTGGTGGTGGTGGTGGTGGTGGTGGTGGTGGTGGAAAGCACGCCCATCAATCGATGTGAAGCGGGGGTAAGGTTCGGACTCCGCCACGGGTTCGACAAATTGCGAACCCTACCCCAGCCGGCCATCGAATTGCCTGAATCTTTGATGGGCGAGGGTAGGGTTCGGACTTCGCCGCCGACCGTACTGTAGGTGCCGTGGGGTGAGGCCGAAGCGCCAGCAAAAGCGGAGGCTCAGATGGAATCGACTCCAAGCGGGCGCACGCTGACATGGATCAGGAAAGGCACCTCCGACATATGAAGCCAGCGTCGCCCAATTCGGCGACATCGCGCGCCGATTTCGCCTGGAAACGGAACCCGTCGCTAATCCACGCGCCTTCACTCATGATGCGGTGGGGGAATTGGGCAAGGAACCCTCCGATTAGGAATCCAAGGTCTGGAAGCCGGTGGAACTCCAATCGTGGATCGGCCATGGACGTCACCGAGGCCCTCATCAGCTCAGGGATCCCCCACGGTCTGCAGCATCTGAGTATCGTTTCACCGAACCCCATCCCCAGCGGCGCGGCCTGGGCCCCACTTGACGATTTACCCCCCTAGCTGGGGATGCAGGTCGTCCTCTTTGGGTTTCGAGGGGTGTGTCCCCAACTGGGGTGGTAATTTGGTGGTGGTCTCGAAGGGGATGGGCATGGGGATGGGGATCGGTCAAACGATACCGAGCATTCTGAACATATTCCTCAACGAACCCCCCCACCGTAGCGGTCCCTCGATCCAACCGTGCATCACGCTGCTGCTCGCCAATCCCCCCGCGCGACCCGCGAGGGGCGACCGCCCGCGTGCCCGCGTCAGGCGCCCGGAGCGGCGATCGAAGGCATGTGCCCGAGTCGGGGGGAACGAAAGGGGGGCATAGCAAAGGGTAGGGTAGAGAATCAGCTCACGTAGCTGATTTTCCCAGCGCCTCCCGGCGCCGGGAGGCGCCCATGTATAATATCGAGGAATGGGCCTGGCGGCGGGGCCGAAACCAGCCTTTCCCTATCCCCCCCTTTCGCTCGGCCCGGCCGAGGACAGGCACCGCCTCCGCGGAACGCACGAGGGCCTTCGCAAGCGGAACGCACCAGGGGCACCGCCTGCACCGAGGGGCAGCGCAAGGGGGGGACGAGTTGGCGGCGCGCACCAGGGAGGGGGAGGGGGGGGCTCCTCAGGAGGAGGCTGCTTCTCAGAAGGCGCCGGCCCTCCATCTACAGACGAGGCCCGCGCCTTCTACGAAGCAGGTTGCTTCTAAGAAGCCCCCACCCTTTGCGCGTTGCTGAGGGGGAGAACCTCAGCCTGGAATCGGCGATGTATCGCCGATAGGTCGGCAATAGGCCCCTGATTGAGAAGCCGTGCGTTCCTGTGCGGGGCGGGTCATCGGGCCCATATTGACGACGAGTGGGCGATGGGGGTTCCATGCGCCCCCCCAAAGCCTTTCTCCCCGTCTCGTTACCCCTGGCTTTTCGGATCGTAACTCGGCTCTCCGGCGGCCATTCGGGACGATCCGGGCACCCCCAGAACGTTCTCGGCGAGACGCAGCTGCTGGAAGGCACCACGAGGCTGGAAAGGCACTGCGCACCGACGAAAACGTGAGAAATCCTCGAACCTCGAGCCTTATTCGGGCCTCCTTTCCCCCCTCCCCCGCAGAAGTGCGATTGGGGTCCATGCGTCCTCCCCCATGAGCCCAATGATCCCCCCTGACGTTGCCCATGGCGCACGCCCCGCCTACCCCGTTTCTCTGGCTCCGGCGCTCGCATTTGTCCTATCCATGTAACGCAGGCTCCGCACCCAAAGAACTCGAGTGGCCACTAAACAAGTGAACGCGGCCTGAACGAAGATGAAGGAAAACAAGGACGAGGAGGAGGGCGAGTGGGCAGCGGTTGCCAAAAACGGCTGTCACAGCTCTGGCCCCCGGAATGCTGCCACGACGCCTTGGTGGCTCACTCAGTTGACGGCGCGGCGCGATGGGGGCGGCCATCCAAGAAGGCGGAGCAGGGCGTCTGAAAAAGCAAGGACCTTCTTAAAGGCCCCTGGAGGCTTCTCAGAAGGCTTCTTAGAAGCCGGCCGTGCTGCTCATCAGCTCCCCTGCTTTCTTAGCAGCCCACCTCTCTCGCGCCACGCCATCCTGAGAGCCGCCACATGGGCCTCCTGAAGCACAGCCCCAGCTCGATGCACATATCCTCCAGATCTGCCTCACAGGGCGCGCGCGGGCAACCGCGGGTGCCATGCAGCAGCCGCCCGCGGACCGCCTCGCCTGCGCATGCTGATGGCTGCAGCACGGTGGCCGGTGCCCCTTCGGTTAAACTTCGTCGCCGACCACTCGCCGAAACGCGCTGCCACTTGTCTCGCCGAAGCTCCGTCACATACGCCCTCCCAGCGTCTCCATGACCACAGTAAGCTCGTACACACGACGCGCACGTAAAACTCACGCAGCTCTGTGTCAGCCGCAGGCCTGCAAATAGCAGAGCCCAAGCTCGTAGAGCTGTAGGCGTGCGGGCGGTGGCACTTGGCCTCGCTGCCCAGCCAAGGGAATGTTGCTCTTGTTAGAACAGTGGGTCTGATGTAATAAAACGCAAAGACGCTCTGATCCGAGTGTCGAAACACATGGCTCTCAGCTCGAACATGCCTTGCTGCCACCCCCGTCGTTCTCGAACTCACTGCCAGCACAGTGATGCAAAGGCCTTCGTTTTCGCTCGAGTCCAAACTTCGAGAAGCGCCACCACGCTTGCTGTGATCCATGTCTTAGGCACGCCACTTCCAGGCGTGGCAGATCACTGCACGCCTGGGTATGGTGAACGGTGCAAGGTGGTCTTGGTTGAAACGCAGCTCAAAAGATTTGGCACCTGCCTGTGCTCAAGCCTGAAACTTCCTCGCCGCAAGCGGGTGGCTCCCACAACTTCTGGCATCTTAATCTCGGGGGAAGGCCACGTGAGACAACGGCGGAATTCCCGCCCGGCCTGCACCTGGTCAGCATCGGCCCCTGCCCCTCCGCAGCTCCCTCCCTGCCCGCACTTCGACGCGGATCCAGCCGTGGCGACGAGAAGCCTCCACGAGGCACACAAGGATGGAAGCACCCTGGGGAGGGCCGCCGTTGTCTCGACCGACCCTCCTCAGAACAGCTGATTGCCTCACGCTCGCTGTGTGCAGGCCTGTGCCCCGAAATTAGATGACCAAAATCATCCTCAACAAGTTCTGCAATGACAGGACCTGTCGGCGCTGCCCACCTTGCTCACACAGGTGAATCCCAATACTATAGATGCTGGCGTCTGGTACCACCATCGCTTTCCACGAGTCGTCTATCAACGACAGCACCTGTTGCCACTGCCCGCCTCTCTCGCATGCGCTGATTCCAGCAGTGTAGCTGATGATGTCAGCGTCGAGCTCAGCCTCCCACATCTCCGCGATCAAGCATATCGCTCTCTGCCACTGCCCAGCTTTCTCACACGCGCTGATTCCAGCATTGCAACTTGTGACGTCAGCCTCTAACTTCACGTCGGACATCTCGCTGAAAAACGACAGAGCCTGCTGCCATTGCCCGCTCTTTTCGCATGTACTCATCAACGCGTTGTAACCAATGACATCCGCTTGCAAACGAGCCCCCCGTAAATCATGCAGCAACGACACTGCGTGTAACCACTGCCCAGACTTCTCGCACGCGCTGATCCCAGCGTTGCAGCTGATGACGTCAAGCTGCAGACGCGCTGCGCACAACATCCCCAGCACCGACAACGCCTGTTGCCACTGCCAGCCTTTCTCGCATGCGCTGATTGCAGCACAATAGCTGATGGTGTCTGCCTCAAGCTTGACAGTCGCAAATTCGGAGAGCAATGATAACGCCCGCTGCCACTGCAAGCCCTTCTCGCAAGCGCTGATCGCGGCGTTGCAGCATGTGGCGCTCGGCCCCACCCTCGCCTCGCGCATCTCGCGGAGCAAGGCCATCGCCAGCCGCCAATCCCCACCATTTCCACACGCGCTTATTGCAGCAGTGTAGCTGAACAGTGGGCCCGTGGATCACCGTCCTCGCTCGCCTTCAAAGAAAGGCTCCGCGTCTGGGGAAGCCTGGAGAGACGAAGATGGTGATCCACGCGCACACTCATCGGCCCAAGCAACACTGCCCATTTGCGCGCGACGCGGAGGTGTCAGAATGGACCGCCAGAAGGGTATATCGCGAACGCAAGGATGAGAAACCCAAAGCGCCCAATGGGGTGCGGAAGGCCTTTCGGAACCTTCAAATCAACAATAAAAACACGCCAAACTTCCGTCCAAATGCCTTCCTGGCGGGTAATGGGGGGGACATGTGGATAACGATACTTACCCATGCTGCCCAGACCTCCTCCTGGGCCCGAGGACCTAGACTCCGAGGCGAGTCCGGCCATGGCCACGGCCCTAGGACCAACAACAAAACGGCGCGGGACGAAATATAGCAGTCCTGGGGGCAGGTTCTAAACCTTGGGGGGCCCACATTGTAACAAAAACCACGGCGCGGGAGATCTGGATTCCACCTCCGCCTGCTTCGCCGCCTCGAGATCCGACGTCACAACAACCTCGCAAGATCGTGGGTAGTCCCGACCAGAGCCGTGGGCCCCATTCTTGCTGCCGCATCTGTCGAATCGTATGTGTGTGATTGTCAAAATACCTGAAACAAAGCGAAAACTACCGGTATGAACAAATTCCAACGCCTGGACCCCAGGGATACTCACCTGTTTCGCTTCCTTCTCTTTCTGCACGTTTGGGTGCCTCCTGGGATCTTCGTGGGACTTCCAGCGACATCTGGAAGGCTCTCGTGCAGAGATGTGCTGCGGGGGCGAGGGAGCCACTGGAGCTCGAGGGTAGCACTGGAGCTTGCCAGGAGCACCGTGCAGACTTCTTGCAGGGGGGGCGTGGAGGACGCGAGCCTCCTCCTCCTCCTCCTTTCCTCCTCCTCCGCCTCCTCCTCCTCGTCCTCCTCCTCCTCTGGCATCCCGTGATCCGGACATGGAGAAGGACACAGAACGCAACTGACAGGACACGAGGGTGCCCCTGATGCTTCAGGGTCGACCTACTAGTCAGACGCGACTGCACAGCCTCCTACAATCATCGTGCTGTACATCCTTCGACATGACTTTCCAATCCGCAGTCGCAAGGGTCCCGACCGCTTCCACGGGGGGGACTCTCGCGTCCGGGATTCCTGCTTGATGGCCCAGGGCCCGAAAACGGGCCCCGAGGGCAGACATCGGGAGAGAAAGCGCACTCAGACACCACCGTGAAACTTCCGATGTTTAGACTGGAGCGATGTGAGCAACGCCAATTGGGGGGGCGGGAGGTGAAACAGTTCGCTTGCGCGAGCTATTACGCGAACTCCTGCTGTGGGCACGGACTATACTGCAAGGCGCGTAATCTACTGCGTTTGAAAGACTACACGATGGCACCCGCGCGCAACTAAGGCGCGCAGACCGCAAACGATTGCATCCACGCAACAAAACACTGCAAATACTATTGCACCTACTCCGCCCCCCTCCCTATGTGTTGCCCCCACCACCCTGGCCTGCTCGGCGGTGTTGCAGGGCAAGCTGGCATCTGCACCCGGCCCCGCCACCCGCAGCTCGCCGAGGAGCCCCAGCGCCTGCTGGTGCTGCCAGGCCCTGCCGCACGCGCTGATGGCGGCGTTGTAGCTGACGGTGTCCGCGTCCAGCCCCGCCCCCTGCAAGCTGCGCAGCAGCCACAGGGCCTGCTGCCACTGCCCCGCCTTCTCGCATGCGCTGATCCCAGCGCAGTAGCTCACGACGTCGGGCTCCGCCTTCGCCCCGCGCATCCTGCCGAGCAGCGACAACGCCCGCTGCCACTGCGAGCCCTTCTCGCATGCGCTGATCCCAGCGTTGAATACGATGGTGCCCTGCTCGAGCCTCACGTCCAGCAGCTCGCCGAGGATCGACAGCGCTTGCTGCCACTGCCCGCCCTTCTCGCAAGCGCTGACAGCAGCACCGTAGCTGATGGCATCCGCCCTCAGCCTCGCCTCCCCCAGCTGGCAGAGCAGCAGCAGCGCTTGCTGCCAGAGCGCGCACCTCTCGCACGCAGTGATTGCGGCGTTGTAGCTTGTGACGTGGTTCTCCAATGCCCACTCGCTGGAGCGGAAGAGTAACGACAAGCTCTGCTGCCACTGCCCAGCCTTCGCACAGGCGCTGATCCCAGCAGTATGGATGAAGGGCTCGGGTAGCAACTTTGCCTCAACTGATTTGCCCAACAGCTGCAGCGCAAGTTGCCATTCGCAGCCTTTCTCGCAGGCGCTGATGGCAGCCCTGTAGCTTACGGTGTCGTGTTTCAATGTTGCGGCTTCCAAATCGAAGAACGACAATAATGCCCACTGCCACTGTCCGCTTCTCACGCACGCGCTGATAGCAGCGCTGTGACTGATGACATCCGCTTCCAACTCCACCTGTCCCATTTCGTGAAGCAAGGCCATCGCATGTTGCCACTGCCCGCCCTTCTCGCACGCGCTGATTGCAGCATTGCGGCAGATAACAGACTGCTCCACCCTCGCCTCGATCATCTCGCGCAGCAGCAACATCGCCTGCAACCAACATCCGCCTTTCTCGCACGCGGTGATTCCAGCGCCATAACTGACAGCATTGGGTTCCAACCGGTGCAGGATCATTCCGTGGAGAATCGATACCGCTTGCTGCCACTGCCACCCACTGGCGCAAGCGCTAACTCCAGCACTGTAACTGATGACATTGTGCTCTACCTTGGCCTCGTCGATCTCGACAAATAGCACCAACGCGCGTTGCCATTGTGCGCTCCTGTCGCACGCGCTAATTCCAGCTGTGTACCCGATCACGTCAGCAGCAACAGCTTGGTCGCCCATTTCCCGAAGCAGCGACACAGAGCGTTCCCACTGCCTGCCTTGTCCGCAAGCGCTGATAGCGACGTTGTAAAGAAAATCGCCGACCTGCGTCTTAGACCGCGACGCATCCCAGAACAACTCAAGCGCGGCACTCCACTCCCTCGCATTTCCATATCTCTTGATTGCGGCCGCAAGGGAAGAGACGCCAGATGTGTATCCCGCTTGCCGCCCATTCCACAATACCTGTGCCATGGCTAGAGACTGCGAGGTTTGTAATCGAGGCGGCAACCAGAAAGCCACCGATGACACTCAGCGACCAAACCACACTGCGACAGCGTAAGTGTACCAATAAGCTAGAACACACACTCAGGTTGTCACGCGCCGGATGCGCATGCGAAGCGCAGCGTAACCAGGCGATAAAAAAGACCTAGCGTTAGAAAAACAGCTGTTCACATGCGATTCCAGCTCTCGTCCAGGCCAACGGCGTCACGAGTATCCAACGTCAAACGTCCTGAACTTCGAACGTCAAGTCGCTGACGGCACTCTGGTCGAATTCTTTCCTGAACAGATATCACATCACATGTCTTTCAGCGCTGGCTCATGATAGACGTGGCTGAGGCGAGGGCCGCTAAGAGGATACAGCTAAGACTGCTGTGTTGGTGAGTGTGATTTCTTGGCGCAAACAAGCAAGCAGAGCCAACCCGCATGCGCGAGCGGAGCCCGCAGGCACAACCCGCACGATGCGCAGTTCTGGGCGACTTTGGCCCCGAGAGGGAGGCCACTGGGACAAAGGTCTTAACCCACTGGGCTGCCAGCACCTTGCAAGCCAGCTGGAGAGCGTGCGGTGAGGCGCGGGCCATCTCGCGACACATGGCGCGTGCCTTCTCTCTCGACGCAGTCCGGCTCGGAACCCTTCCGGCCCTTGGCCGGGAGACGCACCAGAACAACCACTGCGACCCGACGCGCGGAAGGTGTCTTCTCCCCTGAGATCCGACGGCACAGAACAAAATCGCAGCGTCGCTAGAAATCGCGCCCAGAGCCCTCGACCCATCCTCTTTTGCGGCATCTTCCGGGCCAGACCGATCCTCGAGGGTCCCTGGGCCGGAAACACAAGGTACACGTCATTCATTTCTGACCGTGCTGATTTCTAATCGTGCTCGTTTCTAATGATTCCTGGCCCCCTAGAGGCCAGGAAGATGCCCAGGATAGAACAATTAGAAATGAAAGGCTCTTGGCGCCCAAAAAATGAAGAACTTTCGAATCATACGAACCATGTGTACAGATGCTGGCTGTGGACACTGGCGACGCCAGGATCTGAGGCTCATCTGTCGAGTGTGCAACCCCTGCCGCAGGGCGCGGAGAGGGGCCTCCGAAGTCTCCACCCAGTACCCTGTCCCCGCTCCTCCTCCTCCTCCTCCTCCTCCTCCTCCGGGGCCGGCTTTCCATCCCTGAGCGTTCTCTGACGGTCCTCGGGCCCGGCGAGGGCACCCAGAAGCCGACAACGGCAACAGAAACTCCCGTCGCGCTACTCTTTTCGGATGCGAGCAAGAGCATCCTTTAATCGATCCCCATCCCCAGCGGCGTGGCCTGGGACCCACTGGCCGACTTACCCCCCTAGAATGGGATATAGGCCGTTCCCTTCGGTTTTGGGATGGGGATGTGGATCGGTTAAACGATACCGAGAGCATGTCTGGGGCAGAGGCCCGAGCAGGGACGGCAGCAAGCAGTGCCGTCTGCACGCCAGCGCCTCGCATGAAACCCCCTGCGGCCTGCGCGCGCACAACCTGGGCTGGCCACGAAGTAGCGGGGTCAGCGAAGGGGGGAGAAAGGGGGGGGGGAACTAATGATAGGAAGCAATTCCTGTGAGGTCTTCGTTGAAGGGATAGACCACTAGGCTAGGTTAGGGGGCTACGCAGCTGGATTACGCAGGAAATAACACCATGCCAAGCCAGATTCTGGCAAATTCGAGTGGGTTAGCAAAGAAATGCCAGCGCCGACGCGGAATGAAACATCACAGGGATTGCAGGATTGCAACCTGACGCGTGGCCCCCCAAACCAGATCAGCCAAAGGGGATCGGATGGGGGTTAGCTGGACCCCGTATATGGCTCGGCCCAGCAGCCTGAGCCCTCAGGAAATTGCATCTCTTGGAGGGCCGGATCCTGCATCCGCCTGCTTCTGCCGGCCCTCCGCTGGCAGAGCCACCCAGTCTTGCTTCCGCCAAATTTTCCTGATCGGCATACCCAGAACACGTACAGGAAACATGGGTACGGTGCCCAACAGCGAGCGTCATGCAAAACCGAAAACGGCCGCTATTGGACAGGCGACAATTTGACAAATGGGCAACGTCCGCGGCAACACCGTCAACGGGTCCTGTCCAAAATGGGCAAGAATGGATGTCAATCTGCGTGCCCGTTCTTTCCTTGACATTTCGATTGTACCGATCCGTCGGGGACGAGAAAGACAATCCCTGGATCCACCTCCACGAGCTGTGCCCTTGCCTGGAATGCCGCTGTACGGCCCAACGACCCGCCTGGGACCGAGCTTCCTCCTGCCCCTCGCCTGCCTCCGAACCTTGTATTAGAAGCATGCATGTTGATGTGCGTACCACTAGGCACATCATGCAATACTCACCTTGCTGTGAGACATCACGGGGCACATCCTTCCACGACTCTGAGATCCGCAGCGCGCCCAAGGGCTTCACGGCCCCATCGGGGAACCATGATCTATCGTGGTGCACCCGCTGGCAGCCTGATTTCTTACCTCGTGCACCTTTTGTATGCCAACACGTGCAGCATGAGCAGCCTGCAGACGCAACCACCACACCGACGGGAGGAGAGCCGCGAGAGGGGCGCCGGGGCCCCGCGGCGGGAGAGGCGGGCTCCAGCTTCATGGCCGTGAGCACCATGCTGCCGGAGGAGACGCTGGACGGTACCCCGACCTGGGGAGCGGCTGTGTCGTCCTCGCCCCCAGGCCTCATCTCCTCGTCGCCGCCCTCCTCCTCATCTTCCTGGTGCTACCCCTTCCCCTCCTCCCCCTCCCCCACGTCGTTGTCGTCCTCCTCCTACTCCTTTTCCTTCTCCTTCTCCTTCGGCTTCTCCTTCTTCTCCTCCTCCTCCTCCTCCTCCTCGTTCTCCTCCTCCTTCTCATCCACCCCTTCCGCCTCCCCCCCGGACCTCCTCTCACGAAGAGAAGACCTCGATGAGGGTTTTTGCCGCTTTCGACTTCGTAGGGGCCCTCGTTGGGCCAGGGGGCGTCAAAAAACGGATCGGGGGAGGGGGTTGGGCGGGGCGGCCAAAACTTGGGCGGGAGCTTGGGATGCGGTTGCAAGGGAAGAGGAGGAGGAGGAGGAGAAGGAGGAGGAGGAGGAGGATGAGGAGGGGGAGGAGGAGGAGGAGGAGGAGGAGGAGGAGGAGGAGGAGGAGGAGGAGGAGCGGGAGGAAGAGGAGGCGTAGGAGGAGGAGGCGGAGAAAGATGAGGAGGAGGAGGAGGAAAAGGAGGAGTAGGAAGAGGATGAGGATGAGGAGGAGGATGAGGAGGAGGAGGAGTAGAGGAAGAGGAGGAGGAGGAGGAGGAAACGAACGAACGAAACGTCTGGCGCGTATGTGAGTTCGCCATGCCAGCGGTGCAATCCGATCGGCCTTTCTTCGGGGCAAGCCCGCCCAAAGAAAGACGCAAGTGATCTGGGAACCCGTCGACTACCCAGGTGGGCCATATCGAAGTACAAGCGAGCGCACGCCAGCGGCGCCCATCCGAGGGCGCGCAGTTGGGCTGAGGCCTCCCCGCTCGAGGACTACCTGGGGCGCTCGGGCGGGGGAGGCTGTGGAGGAGAGGGGGGTCTCGGCAGCTCGTCGCGGAGGTGTCGTGCAGAAGGAGGAGGAGGAGGGGGAGGAGGAGGAGGAGGAGGAGGAGGAGGGGGAGGAAGAGGAGGAGGAGGAGGAGGAGGAGGAGGAGGAGGAGGGGGAAGAGGAGGAGAATGAGGAGGAGGAGGAGGAGAAGGAGGAGGAGGAGGAGGAGGACAAAGGGTCGAGGGAGGGATACACGCAAAGGCATTCGCAAGGAGTGGGGAGGAGTGTGGGGGAAATCTACGGGGGGGCACCATGGGATCTAATCCTAGCATTCCGGGGTGGGGGGCGAAAGTGGGAGACAAGGATGGGTGCAATCATCGCACCCCAGTGAGACACAGTGGAGCACTCTCATTTCGGCTCCTCCTTGCCAGCAGCGGCTCTCAGAAGGGGGTGCACCAGTCTCGCTCGGCGTGGATGCTCCGTTGGACTGTTGTCCCTCGCGGCAGCCTCGTTCGTGGCTGCGGTTCACGGGCCCCGCCGACACAGTCAACCTGCCCTCAAAATCACAATCCGCGCTCAACGTTGCGGGCCAACCTGAGGCCAACGACGCTGCAGGTGGCGAATCGGACTCAGCAAGATGACTGGGCCCCGCCGACATGGTCAACCTGGACACTGGACGCCGCCTCCCCTCAGAATCGCGGACAGTATTAGCATCGCAGGCTGCCCGAAGGCCAACGGCAACGCAGTCAGCGACGAGCGGCCACGTGGATGGGCTAGGTCTACTCGGATCACGCGAGCTTCGTGTGCAGCAGCCTCTCTATGTGCGACATGGGTACCAGGCCCAACTAGATCTCGCCCCCAGCTGCGCAAATCACTTCGCTATGATCTGCGAGCCTGCAGATTTGCCAATGACTGCCTCTGCGCGCGTGTCTTTGTACGTCCGCGCCACCTTCACGAACGGGAGCGGGGAAAACGACTGCCCAGATGGGCTACACTTAGCCAGCTCGGCAGTGGCGCTAACCTCTTGAAACATCCATTCGAAATGCAGATCGGACATTCTCTCCAATTACCTATGAGACCACCATTCGGGTGTTAAGGAGGTTGGGAGGTGGGGGTGGGGGAAAGCACCCAACTGCAGGCAAATTCGATGAGTGTGATGATGACGATGCTAGAAACGCGCCCTCAAGTTAGCGACGACGCGTGATGACGATGTTGCGTTGCGATGTCATGCCGCAACCTTCCCTGCTTTCTATCTCACAGCCGACGTCACAATCAATATCACTGTCGGTCTCGCCTTTGATCTCACTATCCATCCCATTGTAGCGATCTCATTGTCGATCTCACGATCAACTTTACTATCGATACCAAAGCGGGAAACCCCCGGCCACCAACCGCACACCGCCGACGGAACACCGACGGGACACCACGGCGGGACACACTGGGCCACCACGCGCCCACTAGGAGCGGAGGGGCGGTCCACTGCATCCGAATCGCCCTAGCGACGGCGGGGTCATTCCTCTTGCGCGCACACGCAAATTCGCCTCGCCCGCACTCACGACACGAAACCGAAACCGATTTCCTGGTGTGGGGCTCTCCGTTCAACTGCGATCTCACCCCCCCAACCTCCGATCGCCAGAGGGATGTCAACACTCATGGGCTGAATTAGCGAGCTGCTGGTCTGCATGGAAGAAGAGGTGGTGGGAGGAGGAGAGAGGATGAGGGCGGGATAGGAGGAAGGAATGAGAGGAGGGAGGAGGAGGAGAAGGAGGAGGAGGAAAAGGGGGAGGAGGAGGAGGAGGAGTAGGAGGAGTAGGAGGGGCAGGAGGAGGAGGAGATGGACGAAAGGAAGGAAGGAAGGACGGTATTGGAAGGTCCCTGGCGAGATAAGGGAATTGCAGCGGGGGCTTCTAGATGATACGCAAGATAGCTGTACTTCATCGCCGTGAGCACCCGGACGTCAGATAAGACGATTGAGGACCCCCAGCCTGGGATAAGGGGTGATCATTGGCCGTTGGGGCGAGCGGTGGAGGGGGAGGGCCCAGGAGTAGAAGAGGAAGCGATGACTAGGAGCCACAGGGGCCATCAGGAGGAGAAGGACCGGGGTGGGGGGGGGAGGACACACCTGCTCTGTTTGAGCAAACACATGGAAGAGCAAACACAACATCACGCGTGGAGAGACAGGAATGCCATGCTGACAAAGAGCTTACGACCCATTAGACTCACACGGTCTCACCTTCTGGTTGGGCGCTCTATCTAAATATCTCTCGTCCCGTCCACTCCCTGGACACTGCATGGCCAGCCTCAGCATCGATGATGAGAGCATCGCCGATGGAGTTCATGCTACTGCAGGGGTTCGAAAGGAGCATGCGTACAAGAGGAGGGAGAGAGGGGGTGGGGAAAGAGGGAAGGAGGGAGGGGGAGAGACATCCCTCTCTCTCACTCTCTACACACAAAATCATATATAGGGAGAGGAAGAGAGAGAGAGAGAGAGAGAGAGAGAGAGCGAGAGAGAGAGAGAAAGCAAAAACAAAGAGAGAGAGAGAAATAGAGAGAAAGAGCACAACACAAACCAAAACAAAAAACCAGAGAGAGAGAGGGAGCGAGAGAGAGAGAGAGAGAGCGAGAGAGAGAGAGAGAAAGCAAAAACAAAGAGAGAGAAATAGAGAGAAAGAACACAACACAAACCAAAACAAAAAACCAGAGAGAGAGAGAGGGAGCGAGAGAGAGAGAGAGAGTGAGAGATGGAGAGCGAGAGAGGGAGACATAGGGGGAGAGAGAGAGAGAGAGGGATGGGGGAGAGAGAGAGAGAGAGAGAGAGAAAGAGAGAGAGAGATGGAGAGATAATGGTATAGAGAGAGATAGCAATACATATAAATATATCCAAACACATAAAAAACAGCGAAAACGATAGAGATACTATATATCTACAAAGATATGTATAACACAAGAGCGAGAGATAGAGATATATTCCACAGCATGAACCAACCAAACAAACAGACAACAACGAGGAGGAGAGGAATGATGTTAAACGGTCGGGAAGGCGGATCGCGAGAGGGATAAGGATACATAGGGAGAGAGAGCGATACATATAGAGAGAGAGAGAGAGTCAACAAGCAATAAAGGACACGCACACATACACAACGAGAGAGATATATAGCATGTGCGCCAGCAAGAAGAATGCACTGCATGCATACGTAGAGCGTGCTCGATCCTGTAAGTCCCAGCCTCCATCTCTCCCTGTCCACACGCTCTCTCCCTGTTCCTTCCCCTCCCTGCCCCTCCCTTCGGTCCTCTCTCCTCTCGCCCCCCTCCCCCCTCCCTCCCTCTCTCCCTCCCTCCCGCCCGCCGCCCTCCCGTCCTTCAGGGCCGGGCCGGGCCGGGAGCGGCAGGGCCAGCTGGGCCAGGTCTTGCCCCTTCTCCTCGCTCTCCCCCCTCTCTGCCCTCCCTCCCTCGCTCTTCGCTCTCCCCCCTCTCTGCCCTCTCCTCCCTTCTCCTCGCTCTCCCCCCTCTCTGCCCTCTCTTGCCCCTTCTCCTCGCTCTCCCCCGCTCCTTCTGCGGCAGGCCCGCGCCGAGGCGTCGAGGCTGGCGGGCGGTCGAGGCTGAGCGCCCTCCTCGGGCGCTCCTCGTGGGTGTCCGCCACAAGCTCGGGCCGACGGCCTCCCAGCTGGAGCCTGCTGCTCGAAGAGCGGGCTCGGATGTGGGTCGGGCGGTCCCCGAGGAGTCGGGCCTGGGTGGGGTCGATGGGGCTCGGGGGTCGGCTCAGGGCATCGTCCCCTGCCCCTCATCCTGACCGCTCTCGGCGGGCCACCGGCCCTCGTCCCACGGGTGGCTCTGAGCCGCAGGGGTGCGAGGGGCAAGTCTCTCGGCGCTGCGCTGGCTCAGTCCCGCCCGCCTCTCTCTCCTCCCTCTCCCCTCTTCCCCCCCGCTCCCCGCCCCCTACAAAACAGCACCAACAGCACCTGGATCGTTACGGCCCTATGGCCGAGCCCCCAGCCAAGCGGACCAAGTCCCTTGAGCTGGAGCAGGACCCACCGCTGGAGGTGAAGCAGGAAGTCGTGCTCAAGTTCTGGATGCCGCACAACCCCTCCATGCGCGCCAGTCTGCGGGCAGCGGCGGACAGCGAGGCCAAACACAGCCTGGGCGGCCCATGCAAGAAAACAATGTTCGAGCGATCCGTGAAACACCAGCGGGGGCTCATGGATCCTGAGCAGCAGGAGCCTTGGCGTGCCGCAACACCTGCTGGCGCCGCCCCCTCGGGGCAGGTAGCCCTCGCCTTTCCGGCCCCGAAGAGCGGCCTTCCCCATGAGGTTTCCGAGGAGGCCGCGTCCACCTGAGCGAGGCCCAGGCCGCTTCCGAGGCGGACGCCTGCCTGGAGGCCGGCCAGAGCCATGACCCAGGGCGTTCAGCCGCCGCAGTGCGCCGGCTGCGGCAGGGGCGGCTCCCAGCTGAAAGAAAGGCAGGGGCCTCTGCAGCACAGCGCTCTCTGCGCTTCGTACTGGAGCGCCTGGGAAGCAGTGTGGGTGACGCCTCAGGAGCACCCCCCCCCCCCCGACCAGGGCCAGGGTGAGGCGCCCCAGTGGCCCGCCAAGGCACCAGGGCCAGCGGCCCCGCCTGCGCAGCCCGCGGCTTCGGGGCGAACGGCACAGCCCGCCGCAGCCGGCTGCGGTGCCAGGGCTGCGGGGCCGCCGGCGTCCCGCTCGTTGCAGGCCAGGGCGTCTCCGAGGCGGCCTCCTGCTGCGAGGCCTGCTGGGACACCTCGTGCGCCACCCCGGAGAGCGCACCGAAGGTTCACCCCGCAACCAGCTGCGCGCCGCAGCCCGTGGGCCTCGCCGGGCCCCATGAGCCTGCCCATGAGGGAAAAACCCGACAGACGAGATCATGCTGCAGTGGGCATACACCCACCGGGCGGGCAGCCCCTTCGTGGCCAACGGGAAGTGCTGCCATGTCCCGAAGAAAGCTGCACCGAAGGGTGGGTTCATGCAGCTCGGTCGCAAAAAAGTAGCCCATGTGTGGCTAAGCAAAAAGGGCCGGGCGCACGTGTCCGCCAGCACGGGTGCCCAGGAGCAAGTCCTTGCCAAACTGGAGGCCTGGGCCGTGCCGTGAACGGCGGCAACCCGCCCGCACCCGTGGAGGCCAGCGGTCCGCAGGGGTTCCCGCTGCTGCCGCCCCTGCCGCCAGCAGAGTGGACGGCGCCCCCGGAGTCCAAGTGATCAGGCAGCCTCGCCCTGCGTCAGGACTCCTCTGCGGTGCTCCTCCTTCTCCCGCCTCTTCGCCCCCCGCCCGTCCCCCCCCCCCCCCCCCGGACGCCCCCCCCCCCCCGCGTGCGCCCGAGGAGCGGTGGGCGGAGGCTGCGCAGGACAGCTTTTCTGAAGAGGTCGCAGGGTGAGCTGAGATGTTGTGTAAGATGCAAAGGACGTGATGGGCCCGTTTTCCACAACCACCACCATAAGTTGGAGGGAGAGGGGGTCCTCCTCCTCCTCCTCCTCCTCCTCCTCCTCCTCGTCCTCCACCTCCTTCCCCCCTCCAACTTATGGTGGTGGTGGTGGTGGTGGTGGAAGACAGGCCCGTCAGGAAGGGCTCCTCAACCCGCACCGTCCACCACCTCTTGTAAGTAGTCGTATGCTGTAGGTTTGTGTCGTGTCGACCCTGGCGCTGGTTCCTGACACCGCGCGGATCGATCACCCTGGAACGATCGGCCGTCGCCGAAACGCAAGATCGTTCAACATCGACCGACTCTGGGTCGCCGGCGGCGTTCAACGTTGAACGCCGGCGGCGGGGTCGCCGCTGGTTGACACGACACGAACCTACACGTCGTTCATTCCCTACCTAGGTTCTGCCTAGAAGGGTTCTTACCCTGTGAGCTTAAAGGGGCCGGGCAGTGTAACACGCCCCGGGCGGTTCCCCCAGGATCTGCCCCGCGGTTCCCCCAGTTACGTCCCCTGGGTTCACCCAGCTTAATATCATCTTAATTTAGCTTATCGTATCTTAGCTTAGCATCGCAGAGCGTACCTTAGCTTAGCGCAGCATAGCATTCGCACAGCATAGCATATCATAGCATATCATGGCCAATTATACCATAACATAGCATAGCATAGCTCAGCATAGCAAATCATAGCATAGCGCAGCATAGCGTAGCGTAGTGTAGCATAGCATTGCTTAGCACAGAACAGCGCAGCATGGCATATCATAGGTTATCACATCATAGCATAGCATCGCATAGCTCAGCATAGCATAGCGCAGCAAACCATAGCACATCATAGCGTAGCATAGCAAAGCGCAGCATAGCATATCATAGCATTTCATAAACTAGCATAGCATAGCGCAGTATATCGTGGCATAGCATAGCATAACGCAACATAGCAAAACATAGTATATCATAACATAACATCGCATAGCATGGCGCAGCATAGCATAGCATAGTATCGCCTAGCATAACACAGCGCAGCCGAGCGTACCCTAGCATAGCATTGCATAGCATAGCACAGTCTAGCGCAGCATCGCAACTTATGGCATATAATAGCATTGCGTAGCGCAGCATAGCAACGCATAGCATAGCATAGCAGCACATCAAAGGCAACGCAACAGCAGCAACAGCAGCAGCAAAACCAATGCGACAGTGTATATGTAGATGTAAACGTAGGTGTAGGTGTAGATGTGGATGTAGGTGTAGATGTAGATGTAGGTGTAGATGTAGGTGTAGATGTAGATGTAGATGTGAGTCTCGCTGTTGGTGATGTAGATGTAGATGCAGGTGTATATGTAAATGTAGCTGTCGGTGTAGATGTAGATCTTGCTTTCCTAAATGCTCCAACTCCTAGGTAGGGTCGCACTGGGATAATTTCTAATCGTGCTCATTTCTAAGTGTGCTTGTTTCTAAATGTTCCTGGCCCCCTAGTGGCCAGGACGAGGCCCAGGATGGAAGAATTAGAAATGCAAGGATCTTGGCCACCGCAAAAAATCAAAGAACTTCCGAATACTAAGAAATGAACAACGTGTACCGCAATTGAAACGTTTTGAAAAATATCCACACAAGAAGACGGCCTCCTCCACGGATCCCTGCGTGCGAGACCTCCTGCTCTCTCCGCGCGCTCTCCCGTCCTGGGCTCGTGCGCTGCCGGCAGCTCGTGTCTCAGGGGAGAACGTCGACCCCTCTCCCAGGACGTGGGAGGTTTCCGAGTGGACCGAACATGTGGGGTCCAACCCTGGGATTGGACAGGACACGCGAGAGGACACGAGACCCTTCGGGGGGCCACGTTGCCACAGAAATGCGGGAGGCATGGGTCGCAAGACACAGGACACGAGGGTACCCTTGATCTGGCAAGGTCGACCTACTAATCCGGGCC